AAAGAAGAATTTCTACTATTTCCCACATGTTTGATTTGGCATCCTTCCTGGTACAACCCTGCTTGTGATTTATGTCACCTCCTGGTCTTAAACTACAGATCTTTCACATGTTAGCCAAAACTATTAACCACTGCTAATGGAGCCATTGATGCTTCTTCTTTGTGGGTCCAAACTATAACATTAGCTATAGTAGAATAGTTAATTGCTTTGTGTCCTTGACATCTTAGGAACTATTCAGTTTCTAAAAATGATCATTTTGAAGGGAAAGGTTCCCATAAAGTGTAGATATACCTACGGAATAGGACACATCTGATTTTTGTATGCGAAAGAATATTGGTGATACATGAGAACTTTCTGGTTTAACTCAAGCAGTTTCTGAATAACAAGTAAGTGCTATTATTGCTGTTATGTGTTAGACTAGTGCTTTCAATTTGACTCGTTACATTCTCTGATCAGGCATCTGGTGACCAGAGTTCAGGTGGGGTCACCAGTCACCATGAGACTTCTAGAGTTGCCATCAAAGGCAGAAAAAGGTTACACACATCCCCCACACACATATTCACACATAAGAGGTATGATTCCAATGAAAGATTCAGTGATATTTGTGTATTTGTAATTTTACAGTAGATTTCAAGAAGATCCCCCTTGTGTGGGAGGAAGACATGCAGATGCGTTCTAAGTTTCTGGACAGAAAGGTAGCCGGTCATGTGCAACAGGAGATTAATACTAGACTTCCATTACTCTACTGACCATCTGAGCAGAAAATGAATGTGTATTTATGTCTTGTTTTGGCAGGAAGAGCTTAAGGCCGACCACTCCTCATACTTGAGACAGCATCCAGAGATTCGAGCACTAATATCTGACTTCCTGCAGTTGCTGTTGTTGAGGAAACCAGACGACGTCTTTCTGTTTGCCAGAGAGTACTTCACCCCTTTTGCCTCCAATCATCCTGCAGACGCAGACCAGGAAGCCCAGTCCCTCTAGTCACATTATCACATGCTCACAAACTGTCTCTTTACAAGCTTCATATATGTTTGTTCATGAGAATAATCTTCACTGACATTTAGAAAGTTATTTTGTTTTTTATTCCGAGTGACTGACTATTAGTTGTATCTGTGGACATTTGGTGGAGAAGAACACAAACGATCAAAACTCAAACGTTGTGATCTTTCCAGTAAAAGACAGATAAATAATGTTTGGGTTTTTTTTCAGTTTCAGTAGTTTGGGTTTCTTGTACACGTTTGGGCAAAGCCCTCTGCTGATAAATATGTATCAGTGTTGCCAACTCCTCAGTAAGGAAAATCGCTATTGGCTGTCCTAAAAGTCGCTAGAAGTCGCCAAATGACGTCATCGCCTAATTTGCATAATTGGTCATGCTAATGTAATTGTAACCTACGATGTTGGAGAGAAAAATAACATCGTGGTAGAGACATAAGGTGAGTAAAAAACGTCCTAAATGCAGTTTGAATTTATTTAGAACTGCAAATTAAATTTATTTTAGCAATTATTGTTTTTTAATGTCACAATTCCAACCCTGCTCCTTTATCCAGGCCTGGACCGGCAAAAGTGACCCGAAATTGGCACTCTGGTGGAGTTACTTTATGTGTGAGAGTGTGCGTTTATAAGTAGTTTTAAACCTTGTGATCCACAAAACAGCATAATAAAAGAAGAACTGACTGCGTTACAGTCAGTGCGGGAGCAGCGGCTTCGCTCATGCGCGATTCATTTGCCGTTTGGACGCACAGGTGTTGTCTCATGATATCACAGGTCTCCTGCCCTGATAGCAGCTGGGGGAGGACTATCCTCCGCCTGTGAGCGCTTTGGCACGGGTGAGGTGCCCAAGGTAGCACCGCTGCCTGTTGCTAGTAAGAGCGATATGCGTTTTCACGTCAAAAAGTCGTCATAAATAAGTCTCCAATAATACCAGAAAAAGTCGCCAGATTTGTCGCTAGTCGCTTTTCAGAAAAAAAGTCGCTAAGGGGGTCTGAAAACTCGCTAAATATAGCGACAAAGTCGCTAAGTTGGCAACAGTGATATGTATGTGTCTAAGAAAAAATAAAGAAGCATGGGAGTTTTCAAAATAAAGGTTTACAATGCTAAACAAACGGATTTTATTATGAAAGACGTGCCAGTATGTGCTGTAGTTGAGCTTAGTAAACTCATGTAGCCAAGTGTGAAGCGAAAAATATATTGGTCAGCTCACTAACGCTATAGTTTGTGTGTGAATGTGGCCTATGTGGCCTTTATTTTTTTTAAATTTTCTACCCAGCACCCGACACTCAACTTCAACTTCCTATACCGTGACGTCACACCCAGTTACGTGAGGCGCTTGCTCTGAAAACGAAAGAATTTGCGGCTCTAACAGAAAGCGGAAATAAAAGCCATTGAAACATATTTCAGCATTTTTTTCGCTCCCAAAAAGTTTTTTGTTTCATTTGTTTAAAGGGTTATTTTCCTCGCATTTAACAAAACGCGCCCATTTCGCTAAGGAGCTGTAAACTAACAGCGAGAGACAGCGGTGGTAAGTTTCAGCGTCGTAATTTAGTTCACCTGACGTAAAGTGTTAGCGTAAACTCTGGGCCACGTTATGTAACATTGACTTAAAACTTTTTAATGTTCGTTTTTGTCAAGAGAAACAAAACTGGGGGTGGGTTGGGTAGTATTAGTGACGTCACTCTGTCGTATCACGCAGATGTCTTTTCATGGGACTACACGGGATTACTAGGAACGCATTGAGAGGCCAAAATAACATGAAATAAAGTAAACCGTGAAGGACTGAAAGACACCGCGTCACGTATAAGCTGCCATGCAAATACACAATTTAAAACCAGGCTTTCATAGGAAATTGTAAATAACATTTAAATGTTGCAGGTGTTTGTTTGTTTGTTTGTTTGGATAGTCAGAGATGATGTGGCCTAACATCCAAAGCTCTGTGCCATTTAATAATGATCAAGATAACAGTTCGCTGTTGAAAGGTCAGCGATGGAAGACAAAGTTCTCTATGTAGTCATCTTACTGTGTTTCCCTGTAAAAACATACAGTATAGCGGTGCTTCTACGTAGGGCAGTAATGGCATCTTATCGTGTATGGTGTGGTGTTATTATTATTGTTGTCATTATTTTAACATTCTAGCCATGATCTTTAGTCATTAATGTAAAACTGCTTGTTTGCAATGCATGAAGTTTTTGAATACTTCAGTTTTTGCTCCATCAAAACATGCACACTTGTTTTCTGTTAGCAATAAAAGCTGCAGATCACTGTGAGCTGAGGACCAGGCCGTGATGGACAGGCTGACTTTGTCCCACATAGATGAGGGCCTGGACTCTTCTGAAGTGGCAGAACTTTGCTTCTTATGCCGTGATGTAGTCACCAGAAGACGCCTGGAGAACGTGAGCATAGCAAATTTTGTAATGTGTTTACACTTGTTTTGTTAGCATGTTTGTGGAAAATTGTTTTAAATAACACGTTGACAGTATGACGCCCTAGGATATTCATGTTCAAGAGCGGGTTTTTTTCCTTACAGATTAAGGATGCAAAAGACCTGTTCATGAGATTAGAGGAAAAAGGTCTGCTGCAAAACGATGCCTTCCTCAGGCAGCTGCTCTACACCATCCATCGAGCAGATCTCCTCAGGGTCTTGGAGACAGACAGCAGACCGCCAGAGGAAACAGATGCTAGTCCTGTCCTGTCAGACTACAGGTAAAAGCTTTCGGTTTTTATCTTAATAGTACAGCATGCAGCATAGGAATAGTAATATATCAAAAGTTTTTCTCTGACCATTAGAAAGACCCTGTATTCTATATACAATGGCTTCACTACAGAGAACTTTGAAAAGCTGAAGTTTCTACTGAATGACGAGCTGGGCAGGAGACAAATGGAATTGTCCAAGGTGAGAACACACCAATCCACCTTTTCATTTCTGCTTTTGAGTGAGAAGCTTTTTACTGAACATCAAAGGCTAGCTGTACAGTTGACATTTAGATTGTTTTCACTGTGATCAGCATGTAATGACTTTTCCTTTCATTTTGTAAGCACAGTAAAGAACACACTTCCACTACTAAGAGTAGTTAACTGGTAATTTTACTTTGAAATGTTCTGTCAAATAGACTGAGTACTGTTTACAGCGGCTTTTCACACACTGAAGTTCAAGTGGAAACTACCAGCCTCTGAATACAGTTTATTATTTTGTGCTTTGTACATCATCAGTGCAAAGTTGAGATCAGTGATATCATAAAAGCATGCAGTTTACTGAAAGTCTGTTGGTTGGCTTAAACTAATCGATTCTCAAGAGTTTTCTTCTAAAGAGGAAAAAAAAAGTAAAAGCAGGAAAACTGGATTTGTTTATTTTTGCATGCAGCTAAAGTGCAACCAATGCGGATTTCTTTCCAGACACATGAAACATAAACAGATTTCCATACTATTTATTAAATGTAGTTATTTACAGTCCTTGCTAAAATCAGATTTATTTTTTTATTGTCATAAGAGGTCATGGATTACTTGTTTACACTCTGCCCAACTTTGCTTGGATCAGCTGGTTGTTGTGTTTGCAGCTTTCACAACATGTGTGTAACTAACATATAACTAGAGTACCTTCTGCAGAACGAACTATACAACATCAGCCATCGTTATATGGTGAAGGGTGTTTCTCCTGTTTATTTTTTTATATAAATGCATAAATGCTGAGATGAATATATCAGCAAACACATGATATCCCTCTAACTGTTCTGATGTTGTACAGGGGTGTCAAACATAAAGCCTGCGGTCCAGAATCAGTCTGAGAAAAGACTCCAATCCTGCCCATTAGGCAGCTTTAGAAAATGTGAAGCAAGGCCTAAATTCTTTTTAACTATAATTTAATATATTTTTCGGCTTTTCCTACCCATACACATCTCTCTGGTGACCATCCCTAGTACACCACATTAATTACGTTATTTAAAAAAACAGAAAAGTTCCTGTTTTTTCAATGTTAAATATGGAAGGTTTTTGGATGTTGTTTTCTTGTGCGTCCACACAAAAAAGCACATTTCTTGTTTCCTATTTACAGGCCAGTCAGGGCAACGAGGCAACGAACTACCAGAATTTTCTCTGAAAATTGACACATTTATTTTTTAGAATTTAAACACAAACAGTCATGGTGAAAGATTACCACAGCAGCATTTCTGTGTCGTGTAGAAAAACTGAGATATGCTGTTGAAATTAGTTAAATGTCTTTTCACTGACAGAAAGGTGTGTTTCTCTGGTCAGGCCCACTTGAAATCAAAATGAGTTTGACATCCTTACTATGTGAAACTAACAAGGAACAATTAATTTTGTAATTGAAGATAAATTTTTTTGGTGGTGTCAATTTCCATCTATTTACACCTCTTTTGTTTAACTGTTATTCATCGTTATTTGGAATTTGTTTTTTAATTGTCCTGTTATTATATAATTATCCTTCTTCTTTATTTTGCTATAGGTTAGTGATAATTTATTCATATTTAAAAACTTACAATTCCCTTTAAATTGTATTGAAACGCTGCTTCACTTTTTTTATCCCAGAACAACATAAATTTATATACATACCGTTTGAACAGTGTAGGTTTGAGCACTGAACTTTGAGGAGTCCCACAAGTAACTTTCTGAATTCAGCATAGATTATTTGTAAATAATAATGTCTATTACTTTGGTTGAATTTCTGTAATATGGAATCTCACTGTTTTGTATTTTTCTTAAATTCAATTAAAATCTCCACTAAGTATTATTTTCTGTGCTTTGCATTTGATGCAAATGGAAACCGAGTTGTGGATTTGATGGCACCAGAGATGATGACTGTCCCACAAACAGCCTCTGTGAACTAAAAACTTTCTGTCTTTTCATTCCAGACACCGCTGGACGTGTTTGCAGAAATGGAAAAATCTGCTTTACTATCAGACACAGATGTTAGATTGCTACATAAAGCACTGCAAGAGTGTGATCAACAACTGGCAATTACTTTAGAGGAGTACACACAAAGTATAGGATCCACTTCCATATACCCGCACATGTACATATTACATACATGTGGAAATTGAATGTGTTGGTAACACCATCAAATGATTGTGATCGTTACAGGAGGCGGTCAGCAACGGCAGCAGTTCACGTTACCCCCTGATGTCAGCATGGATATTGAGGTATATGTGTGTCTGTAAATGTGTGTTTCTGAGCAGTTAATGTTGCAGTTTGTCAGTTTGCTGACTGCTTTGTTTTATTCCCACAGAAGACCCATGAGCCACTGTCTATAACTGAAACTCAGCCCAACTGTAGGTGTCTCTATTAAAATGTATTTGTGATTATTATTTGTTAAACCTTCTGTTGTCACACTTATGTTTTTTGTTATTTTTATCATACTCATGATTGATATACATGTTTACATTGTTGTAATGTTTTGTTTAGATCGAAGAGAGAGTATTAACACTGATGCACAACTAGAAACAAATCCCACCTCTCTTCCTGATCAGGTAATCCATTCACAGGCTCTCATGCTTTCATTCATTCTTTTGTCACATCAGTAACATTTATGATCGGCCTGTTTGCTGTGTTTGTGTCCTGTAGTCAGACTACTACACACTGACTCATAACCCACGTGGTCTGTGCGTGGTCTTCAACAATGAGATCTTCACAGGAACAAATCTGAGTAATCGAAAAGGAACTCAGAAGGATGCAGGTACAGTTCTTGCCTTTAAACAATGACCTGATTTATCTATGACTGTTTTATCTGGAAGCTCCTGAGCCCTGTAACAATTAATGCATATATACGTATGCCATGACCATGTAATGTACTTATAATCCTTATAATCTTTTGCTTCTTTTCTGTCTGACACAGATACTCTGACAGAAGTGTTCACTCGCTTAGGTTTTCAAGTGGAGATACACGACAACTGTACTGCAGAGCAGATGAAGAAGGAAATAAATGATCTTGGCAGGATTAATTTTACAAATCATGATGCCTTGGTGCGTAGTCACTCACCTTTAGAGTTGTAGTACTTCATGCATTTTATACATTTACACTTATTTTGAATTTTTTTCTTTTTTAAATAAGAGATATCTGAGAAGATTGGCAACACAGCCATACAGAATACAAGCAGCAGGCTCTGAGGCTAAATGTAACCTGCAAATACTTTACCATAAAACCCTAACTTATTAATATTACATTTACATTTTTTTTCTTTAGTAAATGAGCCAGCTACTGTTTCATATTTACTGTGCAGATATGTGGTATCTGTCTTCTCAAAAAGGTCTTAGCTGGGATCAGCACATTTCTGAAAATGTCACCATGTAGTGCATCTCTCTGTGATTGTAACAGCAGCTACATCGACAATGTCAGTAGTAGTGTTAGTATAAATAATAAAACATATATCTACCTCTGATTTAAGGTGGTGTGCGTTCTTTCACATGGAGAAAAAGGGTGTGTCTTTGGCACTGATGGGGGAAAGGTGCTCCTGAAAGAGCTGACGAACCCCTTTACAAGTGGAAGAGCCTCAACCTTGGCAGGGAAGCCCAAACTCTTCTTCATTCAAGCCTGTCAAGGTGAAGAATACCAGAAAGGATACTATCCCAGCAGCAGAGAGGACGAGAAGCAAAACAAAGGAGCACTGCAATCAGACGCTTCAATCCCTGATGAGGCAGTGCCAGTGCCTGAACGAGCAGACTTTCTGATCGGCATGGCCACTGTGGAGGAATTTAAATCATTTCGAAACACAGTCACGGGATCTATCTACATCCAGGAGCTGTGCAAGCAGCTGACAATAGCAGCAAGAAGGTGAGTTGAAGTCATTAGTTTCTTTATGGCAGACCATACTATAATAATAATAATGGATTGGATTATAGCGCTTTTCAAAGCACCCAAAGCGCTTTACAATTCCACTATTCATTCACTCTCACATTCATACACTGGTGGAGGCAGCTACAGTTGTAGCCACAGCTGCCCTGGGGCAGACTGACAGAAGCGAGGCTGCCATATCGCGCCATCGGCCCCTCTGGCCCATATGTACTACTGACATATGGGAAGGTCATAGTGCAGTAGTTTCCTACAAAGTAGATTTTTTTTTAATGTAATTTCTGTTATAAGATAAGATAAGATAAGATAACCTTTATTAGTCCCACACGTGGGAAATTTGTTTATACACAGTTTATATACAGTTCGGTCCATAGAATTATGGACAAAGACACAAATGTAGTAGTTTTTCCTCTGTAGAGCGCCTCAATACATTTTCACACAATCAGACCTTGTGCTTTTATTCAAGGGGTTTTACAAAAAGCACAGTCTTAACTGTTTTGAAGTTGCACCCATTTTCTGAGGCTCAAAAGTCATCAGGGAAGACAAATCAAATGCATCAAATCTCTGTACATTTCTGTCTTCCTGCTTTTGGTGCTTTCAGACATGGTGTTGGCATGAGCTGCGTGTTTTGTTAAAATTATCCAAGATGAATCCTTTTTGTTTCACGTGTGTTCCTTCCAGACAGGAGATGGACGATATCCTCACTGTCCTGACACGTGTGAACAGGGAGGTCAGCAAAGGAGAGTATTTATCCCACAAACAAATGCCACAGCCCAACTACACTCTCACCAAGAAGCTCGTCCTCAAATTTGTATGACCCGACTGTGACCAAATACAACACTGCATGTCTACACAATTCCCGGATTCACATTACAGTTTACACTGTGTGTGTGTTTGGTTTGATAAATGTGATTTTTGTAATTATGAGCTGAATAAAAATTATCCACAGTGGCAAATGAAATGGTACATTTTTGTCATTTCTCAAATATAAATAGGAATTTTTTTTTATTTGGTGTTTTCCAAACTCTAGAAAATTGATTTTCACCTAAAAATCATGAAATCAAATCTTACACTCTTACACCACTTCTTAACATTTGAGCAACTGCCAAAAATAAACATTACAGGTAAAGGAGCTGCTGAGGTGTAATAGGTTATATAAGGTACTGGTTAAAATGCTGCTTCAAACCACGACAGCGATACATCATATAGACCAGTGTTCAGAATCAGAATCAGAATCAGAATCAGAAAGGGTTTATTGCCAGATGTTGAGCAGGTTTACAACATTAGGAAATTGCTGCGGTGCTTCAGTGCAACATACTGTCATAAAAATATAAAAATAAGAATAAGAATTAAAAGTGCTAAGTAGATAGATATATACATGATATATACATGAGTGCAGGTGTTGTACCTCTCTCTTGACCTCTGTACACAGTGACAACCACAGGTGAATGAGACAGGTTGCATAAAGCACTTTGAGCGCTCAAAGAAGAAAAAAGCATTATATAAGAATCACACACCAAAAGTTTTACATTTGGATCCGTCACTGCATAAGAGCTGGACTGATTTCATTGCAGGTCTTGTGCAATCTGGAATGCCTCAACCCATTCTTCCCGTTTCCCTTTAAGAATGGCTTGTTGACAGCCACCCTTCCACGAAGACCTTGTCTGATGAGACTTAAGTGGACAGTAGCTGGATAAACTGAAGGGCCAGATCTCTCAGGTGCTAGATTTTCTTCATATTTATTAGGTACATGAATTTCATATACTGTTCACCTGCTGTAGATAGTTTTTAAAGGCCCGCTACATCGTCTTCTGTCCACTACTTTTATAGGGACTGACAGTATGTATCCGATAAATTTGAAGAAATGTGTTTTTGGAAAGTGCCTAAAGATAAAGGAAAAACATCCTCAGATCAGATAAAAGAATTGGACTAAAAATGATTGAAGAAGCAGCCAATGATTATTGTTTAAGACCGCTTTGAAAAAAAGAAGAAGCAAATCCTGGTTCCTTGGAAGCAAAACATAAAGAAATGAAGAGTGACTAGAGAATTTTTACAGTACTCTATAATACTTAAACAGGCATATCTTTTTCCTGTCAAATCATGAATGAGCTTATCTGCAGAGGGCGCCTATAAAACGTGTTTTCACGTCATAACGCTGGCCTTCATCAGCCTGAGAGAAGTTCAGCACACTTGATGAGCTTGTTTACTACAGAGTCCAAATAACAGCTCATATCAGGTGAAAGGAGTCAGAACTCTGCAAAGTGTGGAAGACTCGCGCGCCAGCAGCAGAGGGCACTTTAGGAGAGCGCGTGCATTCAGTAACGTGACACCGCCAGTGCTGAAAATGAGTCAGCGCCTTTCGGGCCCCGCTGTCCGCGATGTGGGTGTGTGTGAGAGAGATTCCTCCGGACCACACCCTGCTTCCACAGTTCCAGGAAAAAAAACAACTTTTCACAGCTGCCCACTTCTGCCAGTGCTTCTCTGAATAACAACATCGAGAACATAAAACAACCCCACACTAAAACTTGGAGTACAGCATTAAAGACAGTTTAAGGCTTTGTGAGTGACAGCGGGAGGATATCGCTCTTCTTCTCTCTGGGACTGAGAGCCACCGACGAGGTTGACGTCTCGTAATTTGGTAAGATGTTGTTATATTCTTCCCATTCTGTCAGAAACACCGCTCATGGTGAAGGTGGTGGTGTTTGTTCTGGCTGAGCTCGCTCACACACCTGGAAAAGCTTTTTTGGGGGGAGTTAGCGGAGGTTTGGTAACTGGGTGGAGTGGGTCTGTGTGTAGACGCTTTTAGGATAGCCATCTTTCTTTTTCAGTTCAGTCGACAAAACTGAAATGTTAAACACGAGACACAGCTGATGCTGAGTTTTCTTCTTTTTCCTTTTGAATGTTACATCGTTGCTTATTTTTTGCTGTCAGAGATGAGTTACAGGGCGGGTAAAGGCGGCCCTCGTAGCGGGGAAGACAGCTGTTAGCAATAACGTTAATGAGTGCGCCCTTAAAGGCAACGGAGCTCTTGATGATTTCTAATTCGCTGATGTGCTGTCGAGTCGTGTGAGACGTCGTGTCAGTTGTTAGTCAGTGTGCCAGTCTATACACACACACACACACACACACACACACACACACACACTTGTGCACAGTCTGTTATAGTTAAATAATAAGTGGCTGACGTTCAACAGGACTATACCCGATAAATATTGTTTTGGGAGTCTGTTGGGCTTAAACCTGAGTTTTGCTTTGCGGAAGTTGACCGTAAACATTTAAACATAAACAGGCTAAATTGAAAAATGCCCAACACAGTTGCCCAAATGTATGATGACATCTCCCTGTGTCTGGTTTCATCTGACCAGCCTTTACACAGTGTTAGTCATCTAATGTTGTGGGGGGGTCAAAAGGGAGCAACCAAATGTTACATTTAATTTTAGGTTTAGTGGCAAATGTGTTATAAGAACCAGGAAACGCATAACAGGCTTTATCTAGCCTAAGCTAGATTGCAAATCCCCTCCCTGGTGTCTGGTGTTTGATCAGCTTTTGATATGACAAATAAAACCTTAAATGCAGCATAAATTCATAGATAGGATAAGTAACTGGATGTTGGTTCTACCACAAAAAAGGAACACCAAATGAAAGCAATACTCAATAATACTGAACAACAGCATTCCCATTTTCTGACATCCTCGATTAATTATTTTTGTACAATTCATTTTAATAATCTGCTGATGTTTACTGTACATGTAGAGAATAATGAAGCAGAAGTATGCAAAAAATCTGTTTATCTGATAATAAAAAAACAGGATAAAATAACAAACAGGTTTTAAGTTAGCATTCAGGTTAAAGTTCACTGCTGTGTACAATGTAAAATGTCATGATTGGGCAGGAAAGCATGTGCGAGAATGTAAAGGACAAAGTCTGTTGCAGGCGTATTGGATTAGAAAGAGTCGGCAGCATTAAAAAAGAATGCATGACTTCTTGCCCAGGCAGAAATAATGAAGCTCAACAAAAAGGAGTGATTAAAAGCTTTGCCAAACCGGTTCTCAGTGTTCTTGTGTGGTGCTTCTGTAACTGTGTCCATCCGCATGACAGGCTTCACGTAACAAAAGCATTTCTGAGTCACAGGGCTTTGCTCTGAGTGACGTGTTTGTGCCATGCCAGATGAATGTAAACAGACTAGTTATGTTAGTGTGTTCAGACGACATACGTTACAGTAATAACCACAACCACATGATGACCTGAGGTTGAAGGGAGGATGAAATACATTGAATATGAGTGTATTTTTCGTAAATATTAGAGCTACACCCTCCTGTTCAAACACACATATGAACCTGCTGCCTTCTCATGTCTCAGTGACTATGAAGCAATCAGCTTTGTCCTCATTCCACAAGGATCAGCTGAAGCACTTTTTCCATTGATTGTTTTCTGTCCTGTTGCTTGGTGCTTAGTATGTGAGGTAATGGCAACAAGAGATGGAGCCAGCTCTTGAATTCCTTTACTGCGTATATTTCCCTAAAAGTCCCACTGAAAATGCAGCACTTTCCGAATAACTGAGCAAACTGTATTGTGCTTAGAAACACGTCAGCCTTTTAAGATAGCAGTTTGGTGTCTTTTGTAAAATCAGCAGAAGTAAATTGCCCTTTTAATTCTTTATGTTTCACACTGAAAAAGTAGGTACACTTAGGTCTCAAGAACCCAGTGTACTGACCATCTCAGTTCTTTCAGCAGCATGGAATACTTGGGCCTCATGTTGTTGCATGATGTTAGCGTGCATGTGGTTATTATTAGAAATTTCCCTTTGGGGCCCGTGTGGTGGTTCCTGGGTATGTGGTGGGTTTTGTGAACCAGTGTTGAGCAAATCCTTCTACTCTGTGAACCCGATACACACCCAAGTGTGTACAGTAAGGTGCATGGTAATTACTCTGGCAGGAGCCCAAGCCCAGCTATTACCCAGACCTTAATGTGTACGCACACCAACAGTGGCTCCATGCAGAGCCCTAAAGCTAAATGGAGCTCTGTTGTTGTCGCCAAAGGCACAACTGTGCATTTTCAGGCAGGCAGGCGGGAGGGCGGCGTGGACACCTAAGTTTGCTAATGTCATAACGCAAAAAAAAGTGAAAAAGTGATCCTGACAGTGATCCTGAACACACTGCCAGTGCAGTGGAACCATACCTGGATAGAAAAACGCACAGTGGGACATTGTCAGAGTGTGGACCTCAACAGTAATGAAGTAATGTGAAATTACAAGAAGGCTGCCTTAGAGAATTCAGGTTGTGATGAAGAATAAAGGTGGTCATAAGTCAGGTGAAAACCGTATCGGCCTTATATACCATGTATGTTTGCCCATGTTTCAATAAATTGCTGTACCTATTTCCCTTTTTCCTGACTTTTTCAATGTGCATTATAAATCTTTTACTGACGATGACAGTGTACAGCAAAACCTTAAAGAGCACATGTTGGTGATGCTTCCGACTGTCTTACCTCTGCTCCATGTAGTCCCTGCATGTTGTGAACTGTATTTCCTCCCCTCCCTTCCGCACAGGCATCATGTCACACTACCCACCAGGGTACGACGAATCTCATGGCTCACTGTATGGACCTCAGGGTGGGAACTACCCACCACCCCCTCCATATGGATTCCCATCATATGGTGGTTCACAGCCAGGCTATCCCTCTGCTCCATACCCTTCTGGTCCAAATGCCCCTCTGTACCCAGGCCAGCCAGCTGGCTACCCTCCAGGCCCTTATCCAGGGCAGCCACAGCCTGCTGGACATCCAGGATCTCGCTACCCGAATCCTCCTCCCATGCCTCCTGTCGTTCCACCTACAATACCATCAGATGTCCTGAGCTCTGGTAAGACTCTGGCTTGTAACGTGTATCCTCTAATGACATTATCTTTTTAATAAAAGGAGAAAGCATCCTGCTACTGTGTGCTCACACAACACCTAACAATGATATCATTCCAGTATTGAACTAGAGCCATTAGTCAGCTAGTGCATGATGTAGGTTAAGGATTATTACAACAAAATCCACCTATAGGAGTTCTTAGTCTCATAGAGTTATACATTAGAGCTTCTTTGTTTCATTTTTACACTTGTGAGTGGACTATCAAGTGAATTTTAATAAATAAAACAAAATATGCATATTTTAATTGTAATTAAGTTTACCTAATGAATAATGCTTCTTGTTGCTCTTTGTAGTCAGTGATCGCTTTTCTATCTACTGATGATACAGGTGATGAGTTTGCAGCAAGTGGCAGCGATTGGGACAGTCTGAGCATTCGGCATACCTTCATCAGAAAGGTAAAGCACCACAATCTGCATGAAATTACCTATTTTACTGTCCTGTGCAATAATTTATCCAGAGGAGTGCTTAATAACACTTTTAAGTTACTTTCAGAATCATTTAAGACTCATTACAACACCCACACCCAAAAGAAAAGGGCAGATTGACAGCACCAATTATGACATGTCATTGCAGGCTAAACAAAGTGAAAAGTGCTCATTAGGAAAGATCTTGCGTAGGCCAAGATGGTACGCTTTCCTTACCTAGAGCTATCTTATCAGCTAAAAGTTGTATTGTCAGGAAAATTACATGTATATTTGAAAAAAATCCACATCATTTCCTGGTTAACAGTCAAATTTTGGCAGAATGTATTCAATTCAATTCAATTCATTTTTATTTATATGCCAAATTACAACAACAGGTGCCTCAAGGCGCTACAAAGAATGTATTTCTTTATGCAAAATGGCAAATTTTCTTTGAGATGTGTTCAGCAACACTGGCCAGAGTGATTTTAGCCTTGCAGCTGTTGTTCATGTGTTTTGAATGGTTGGATGAGCTTTGACTCGTGATGAGGTTTTCTAATGGACTAGTACATGGGACTATATAAGTGAATATACAAGCCTTCGGGATTAATAAAGTATTCTGATTCTGATAACACATACACAGCAGCAGACCAGAAAAAGATCATTATATCCAGCTTTGTTTACTGAGACAGAAAAGTAGCCTCATCACAGATGCAGAATTTTCCAAATAAAGAACTCTAGTAGTCTCAGAGGACAAGCATCAGTCTCTAAACTACTTCTGTGGAGGGGAAACAAACCAAGCACGGGGGGGGGGGTTGGCTAAGACATGCAGCATTTTATAGAGTATGATGGTGAGAGGTTCTGTTTATTGTTAGATCCAAATTTGACATTTGTGACACTGACTGAAAGGTCAATGACAGAGCATAAACTGGGGAGAGGACGAGTTATTCTAATAATAACTTTATTTGTATGGCCTTTTTAAAAACACCCAGTGCTTCACAGTTTGTACTGTAAGCACATTAGATAATAAGTGTAAATAATTATACATCTGTGTACTATACATACTATATAACAGGAGACGGCCTTTTGCTATATAAGGATACACAGGAGCTATGACAGCTTTACAAGAGAATTAACCTGTGTGTGTGTTTTAGTCTCAGCTTCTCTGGTCAGTGCTTTGGTTGCTTGCCGGTCCACAAGTGTGTGCTAGTCTACACGAGTCCCTGCCTTGAAAACTGATAACCCTTAAACTGTTTAGAAACAGATGAAAGTGGGTGTAGATATTAGAAGGCAGAGTGCAGCCTTGCTTTGATTCTGGTATTTTAAGGATTTCACTTATGTGCCTTCTTCATCTGTAACAGTAGGGCAGTTAAACGAAGACACAGCGAAACAGAAAGCATAGGAGAACAGCCAAACTAAGTTTACTTGGCACTGAACTTGAGAGCTGTCACTGAGTGTTGTTTTGTTGGGTTTCCTGTACACAACCTTTCTGGCTCGAAGTTAAATGGATAGTGTGTGAACGTGCGACACATTTTTTTTGTTTTGCAAGCACAGGGTTGTTTTCACTAATGTTGTCTTCCAGTCTTTAGCGACTGCTGTACGAATCCTGGGTTCACTTGTTGTCCCACCGGTTGGCAGTGGGACAACAAGCCCAAACACTGGTAAATCTGTAAAGAACTGCTTGAAGAAAAAGACCAGGGAGTGTCTTAAGACTTTTAAATATGCGTGGTCACCAGATCTCGTCTCCTATGAGTTTTTGTGATGCATTTGTAACTGGATAGCTATGAATGGCTGTGTTGACTTTACTCTTGGCACTGACTGTTTTGCCACTTCAAAAGGTGGAGTGTCAAATCTCTTCCCCCAACGTGCTTTCCTGGACTGGTGTCCTGGTTTGCTACATCCTGATTCCAACATAGTCTTTTGTTTTGTATAGTTTTTATTGTTGACAAGCTCCAACCTGCTCAGTGTTGGCATGATTTATTTTAAGTGAACAACAAAAGCACATAAAATAACTAATTATAGGTTACATTGTAGCTTAAAAGATTCCACCATATTTTGAGAAAATGTATAATTCATAACTACATACTGCTAGTTTTTTTTTTTTTTTTGTATCATACGCAAATGAGCACAAAGATATGTCAGACACAAACTGGACCAATCCAATAGCTTCTGTATTCAGAGTATAAAATAATGTGAATATTTTTTTCTTTTTAAGGTGTATTTGATCTTGGCGTGTCAGCTCCTGGTCACCACAGCCATTGTCGCCATATTCACGTTTGTGTGAGTATACAGATTGTGTTCTTTCTCAGGCTCTTTGTGTGTGAGCATTTCCTGGTGTTAACTGGGCCTCTCTTTGTTACAGCCAACCTGTCAAATCTTTTGTAAGGAAGAACTCAGCTGTGTACTGGGCATCATAGTAAGTCTCCCTCTGTGGTAACATCATTCGAAGTGATGTGCTGACTCATGGATAAGAACTGTACCTTTGTGATTCATTTCTACATTTTAGCGCGGTGTATTTCATCACCCACATCGTGCTGGTCTGCTGCAAGGGCCCCCGGTGAGTGTGATTGCCTGCTTTTATTATGTTTTAAGAGGAAATACTTGTACTTGAACAGTGTTAAACCAACGTTGTACTGAAAGCCAACTTATTTTGCAGGAGGAAGTTCCCATGGAACATGATTCTGCTCGGCCTCTTTGTAAGTATGACCTGTGGTTGTGGTCATTACCAGCAGTTTCCTGGACTTGGATCAAGTCATACTGAAACACTTTTTGTCTTTGTCAGCGAGACATTCCATCCAATGACAGCCTTATCACAGTACTTGAAATGTAATTTTGATATCAGAGCCAAGCAGTGAGTCACCACATTTGTTTGCATTTTACCTGTTGATACGTTTGAGTGTTCAGTTTATCAGCTCAAACAGCAACATGACTGAGCTCTTTTATGATCTGCATTTTGTCACATAATAAAAGGTTTTTTTATTCTGTATTCTTATTTCCTGAATTGTCACGTGGACTTGTAGGAGTCCTACATGACACTGGGACTTTTATCACAGTATTGTGTTGACACTGAGTTAGACCGCATGTCAAGATTATGCTGTTTGTGGTTGGACAAGAAGTGTTTCATTGTAGTTATATCTGATCTTTATTTTTTTGTGAAACAGACTCTGTCTTTGTCGTATATGACTGGAACCATATCCAGGTAAATATATATATATACACAGTCCCTTTCATGTGATAAAAAGATTCTGATGGTTTCCTCACTGCTGACTGTGTGTTGCGCTTTGGTTTTAGTTACTATGACACAAAAGCAGTGTTTCTTGCACTGGGAATCACAGCTGTCGTCTGCATCGCCGTCACAGTGTTCTGCTTCCAGACGAAGGTAGGGGCGTGCACGTTTCTGCTTATCAGCTTTAAATCTCCACAGTGTGTTTGTTCAAGGCCACGCGTTGAGATGCCTGCTGTCAATTTCTCTTTGTAGGTCGACTTCACCAAGTGCCAGGGCCTTTTCTGTGTCCTCGGTATCGTCGTGTTCGTGACTGGCATCATTACAGCCATCGTGCTGTCCTTCAAATACGTGAGTTACTGCTGTTGTGAAGACTGTGACTGTTTCCTGACACCTTCTTGGGTTTTCTTGTTATCTTAATGACTTTTTGTTGTTGCAGATATTTTGGCTTCACATGCTTTATGCGGCTATAGGAGCCATAGTTTTCACTCTGGTAAGTATTTCACTTTAAAGCTACAAAGAAGTGGAAAAGTCACCTTAAATCTTACAGCAGCCCTCATTGTATTTGTTGATATAGTGCTCAGTTTTTTTGTAACTGTTTGTGTCTTGCAGTTCCTGGCATATCACACTCAGCTACTGATTGGAAACAGAAAGCACTCCATTAGTCCAGAGGAGTACGTGTTCGCTGCACTCTCCATCTACGTCGATATAATCCAGATCTTCCTTTTCCTGTTGCAAATTATTGGTGCTTCCACCAAATAAAAATCCAGCGGCGCAGTGTAGTGAAATCATTCCATGCTTTTGAAAAGCTTTACTTTTCCAATAGACATTAAAAGATTTTTAAGACCATGGTGCTCTTCAGGGAAAATGTCTAAGGGCTGAATATGAGATTTTACATTGTAGATTAAACCTAAACTGCTGCTCAAATGTTTGGGGTCACGCTGATATACCCTTTTCTTGAAAGGAAGAACTTTCATCTAATAACAAATTAACTTGATCAGAAATGATCTGATCAATTTAATGACAGTTATTTGTAAATGTCCAAATTATGTGAGATTATGTAAATTTATGGTTTGGGATTTTCATAAGAAAACTGGAGTCAATTTCAGCATTTTCCCTCCTGTATTGCTGAGGTGTATTGTGTTACCTAATGCAGGTTTATCACGGGACCAGGCTTATTGATCCCTAGACAAAAAAACTTTCCAAACACAGCTGAAAGCTGATAAAGGAGCGTTCTAGTATAGTTAGAGTATAATCTAGTATAATCACACGAAATGCTTCAATCAGCTAAGTAAATGATTAGCTTCTTTAATCTGTTCTCAGCTCTTGTTACATGGTCAGTCTTTTTACATGAAAAACTTGCATTTAAGTAACATGGTGTGCCATGAAAGTGGGCTTCTGTGTTTATGATGTAATTTCCCACCATATATATTGTATTGGAGTTCCATCTACTGTGTTATCCATGTGGAGGTGTTAAAGCATGCTAGTCTGCAGTAAGCTAATGTTTAAATGTTCAGTTAACTGGATGACTTTACAATAATAACATTTATTTTCTTGTTCTGTGATCCAGCCATGACCAGCTGATCAGAGCTGTGGTAAAAATTAATGATTTTTGTTATTCGTTGATTTTTTTTTTTCTTCATCCCCTGAACAGAAAAGTCAAGGCGTGGACTGAACCATTGTTTCAGAGAGCTGTACTAAGGAGACCTTTAAAAAAAAAAAAGTCATGACTAATTTAGGGCTGTTAATGTTAACGCGGCTTTATCCGTCATCATGATTAAAGCAATTTTAAATTTTCAACACAATTAAACCACCTGGAGCGCAGAATGGACAAACTTTGTGCAAACTGCCCAAATTGCCTTGATGCATGCAGGGATTTTGAGTCATTTTCGCTCCAAATGGGTTAATTGCATTGAAAATTTTGATCGTGTTCATCATGACGACAGATTAATCCACGTTAATGTTGACAGCCCAAGAATAATTCCATTTATCGTTGTTTGTATAATATCTCTGATCATGCCTTGTTAAGTGTTTTTGTTTTTTTCCGGGGTTTTTTATTTTTTTGCAAAGTAAGGATACTTTAAAGTGATGCCCCCCAAAAATCTGAGCATTAGTTTACATCACCCAAAAATGCACTTTGTATGAAATCTATATTTGTTTTTATATACTTTAACAGCTTATCGGTGGTTATGACGAATACTATTACCTAACTATCTACAGACACTTGAATCCCATCTGCAACATTTATTCCATATTACTGGACTTAATGCAGAAAGTGTCTGATCTCTCTTCTGTGTATGAACATGTACAGCTACAAATGAATTCTCCCATGTGTCTAAATGCTACAAGAACAAGGCAAATCCTAAAGTGTAACTTTCTGAGATTATGAAGTACAGTAGGGGTGGGCATTGCCACAACATTTGATCTCAGTTACTCAAGTATGAGCAGAGTCAGTATTTTGGGACATGTCCACCCCTGAAGCACAGCTCGGCGCCACTAATGGCAGCCACGGCTCTGCTATATTACTTTATTCAGATAAAGTAATATAGGTCACTTTATTTGAATTGTATTCCTTTATATCACTTCAGTGCCTTCACCGTGTCAATGTCTGTTATTTTAATTTTTTTTTGACTTTACAGAATACAGGGTTATAATATGTTTTATAGAGTTATTATATGTGTGCCTGTAAATATAGTTGTGTTAGTCAGATGTGGGTCAGACAGCGAGGGCCGGCAGGGCGGGATTTTTCCACACAGGACAGCATTATCGGTGCCATGTTGTTAAAGTACTGGAACATTTCTGAACTCCAGTCTTTCATTGTCCAAATGTTTCTCCTGAGATGATCAGCGAAGACCATTAATGACAAATTTAGAGCACAGCTGAAAGTTTATAAAAGCCTCGAGTCAAATCAACAGAGGCAGACATGTTTACTGTACACCACGGAAGGTTAGTGTGGAAGAGGGGGTTGTAAATATATCAGTGCTACAGAAAATCTATTTGCTTATCATTATAAATAAAGTTTTCTTTGAGTCTTAATGTGATTGTACCAGTGATGATTTTATTCAAATATACATTTACCTCTGACATGGGTGAACTTTACATCAGTGTTCTGATCAGTCTTTAATCCAAGAGTCTCTGTGTGGGATACTGTGCATACGATGCAAATCACAGCTGCAACATAAATTACTGGTCGAGTTTAACATCCACTGCATGATGGCGGTAGCGACTCCCTTCGTATTCGCCTTCATTTGATCTTTTCATCCTCTGTCTGATCTTTAACTGTTTCAGTCTGTTTTTGTCCACTTGTCTCTTAGCCAGGAAGAAGCTGATTATTCCTGTAGGGAGACCGATAATCCTGCACAGAGAGGAAAGAGACAAAATATTTATACAGTACTGATGGCTCTGTCACACTAGAGAATAACAGGACAGCAAGTTCTACACCGCTCGGGAAAACTGGTGGTTCCCCAGTGACTGCGCTGAACGTGAACGACAAATCTGCACCTAATATATCTTGCTCTTTAAAAAGAAAAAAGTATTAGTAGCCTGTGTGGATGATATTCATCCAAGTTGTATTTTGGATAGTGAATCTCTCTTTTGGAAAATTGTGCAAAGTTTTCTCTTTTAGCCACAGTAGCGTTATATGGAAGAACAATTGTTTCACTGTTATTGTCTGCCAAGTGTGTTTCTGGGACTTGAGGAGGACGCATCAGTAACATTAACATGCAGGCAACACAGGAAGGTGACCAAAACATAACATTAAAATTACCGTGGAAAGAAAAGCATCTGGACTTCTTTAAGTTTCTTGAAGACGTTTCACCTCTCATCCGCGAAGCTTCTTCAGTTCGAAGAGTAATTGGTGGAGATTCACAGATTTTTAAGCCCTATGGGAGTGACCCTAAGAGGGACATGGACCCCGTCATGGATCCTCCGTCTAATCACACGAGCCTGGGTGTGGGTCACAATGAGCCAAGGTTTTCGCATGAACCCATTGCGAAACCTAGCCCTTCCCTATCACATTATTTACTGAGGTCAAATGGCCCAAGATGTGAGTGGGCGTTAGGGCGTCTGGGAAGGGATCTCAAAACTGGATTATAGATGCAGACAGTTGGTGTCGTAAGCCACCACCTCTATTCAAAGATGGTTGTTCACAGTGGACATAGATGGCTCCTAACACTCCTCTTTCAAACCATCTGTCTTCTTTGTCCAAAATGTGAACATTGGCATCCTTGTTTTCACAGGATGAGAGGTGAAACGTCTTCAAAATATGAAGAAGAAGAAGTCCAGACGCTTTTCTTTCCAAGCTCTTTAGACTACGATGACCTGGATGACTGAAAGCATTCACAGACATTACAGTTACCTAATAGATATGAACTTAAAGACACTGGAAGTTTTTAGTAAGTGCTCTAATAATATTTGCTCTAATTGCCAGCCACCTCTTTTCAAGGGACCAAATATAATTGGCCAGTGGACTCAAAATTGGTTTCATGGACAACATGAGCTAAGCCTTAACTTAATTTAACCCCAGGCAATCTCCGCCTGGGGCATTCTTTAGGTGCCTTCCCAGTGTTGACAAATGTCCAGCTGGTATCCAATCCAATCCAATTTTATTTATAAAGCACTTTAAAATACCCAGCACAGGAACAAAGTGCTGTACAGAAAATAAGTTAAAACAATAGAATAACAAAAAACAGCAAAATGAATAAATAAAACACATAAAACATAAAATTAAAACAGCCCTATGTTAAAACAAAAACAAGATAAAACAGCATCGAATCACCTGAAAACAACTAAAATAAAAAACCAACATCTCACGTGGTGTCAAAGGCCAGGGTAAAGAGGTGGGTTTTCAAGAGTGACTTAAAAACAGATAAAGAAGTGGCCTGTCTAATCTCTAAAGGAAGCTCGTTCCACAGTTTGGGAGCTGCTACAGCAAAAGCACGATCTCCTCTAAGTTTACGCCCAGTCCTGGGTATCTTCAGGAGCAGCTGATCAGCTGACCTGAGAGAGCGGGTGGGTGTATAAGGCTGTAGCTCTCCCCTCTCCTTGGAGCTCACGAAAGCACGATCTCCTCACCCAGTCGGATCTGGGAGTATAGGCGAGCAGCTCAAATGATGGAGCAGCCATGGAGTTAAAAGTAAATAAAAGAATTTTAAAATGAATCCTAAAAGAAATGGGCAGCCAGTGAAGTGAAGCTAAAACAGGGGAAATGTGCTCAAACTTTCGAGTGCCAGTTAAAAGACGAGCTGCGGCATTTTGCACCCTCTGTAGGTGACTAATATATAATGCACTGACCCCAATATAAAGTGCATTACAGTAATCCAGCCGAGTGCTAACAAAGGCGTGGATCACTGTCTCAAAGTGCTGCCGTGAAAGAATTGGTTTTATTTTTGCCAGCTGCCTGAGGTGAAAGAAGCTAGATTTTACCACTGCCTTAATTTGATTATCAAACTTTAGATCACAGTCCACTTTGACCCCCAGGTTTGTGACAGTTGGCTTAACATACTGTGCCAGGGAATCTACATACACATTGGGGGTCTCAGTGGGGCTACCAAAAACCATCACCTCTGTCTTTTTATCATTGAATTTTAAAAAGTTAACAGACATCCAAGCCTTAATGTCATCGAGACACTGAAGTAATGGCTGTGTAAGGTATCTGCCTTTTTTCTTTAGAGGGACATAGATCTGACAGTCATCAGCATAAAAGTGGAAAGCAATGCCGTGCTTTCTCAGTACAGAACCAAGAGGAAGCAGATATAAAGAGAAGAGGAGGGGGCCTAGAACTGAGCCCTGTGGGACACCACACAAGAGGGGAGCGGAGGACGACGCATAGTCACCAAGGCTGACACAAAAAGTTCGCCCCGTCAAGTAGGACCTGAACCACTCCAGTGCTGTGCCCCTAATGCCCACCCAGTGCTCCAAACGAGAGAATAAAATGGCATGATCCACGGTATCAAACGCAGCTGTCAAATCTAAAAGCACAAGAACAACACAGTCCCCAGCATCAGTCGCTAAAAATATGTCATTAAAAACTTTTAAAAGAGCTGATTCAGTGCTATGAAAGGGTTTAAAACCAGACTGGAAAACCTCTAAAACATTTTGCTTTTCCAGGAAGGCCATTATTTGGCTGTAAACTACCTTTTCAAGAATTTTGGAAAGAAAAGGTAGTTTGGAGATAGGCCTGTAATTTGCAAGAACCGTAGGATCAAGAGCAGGTTTTTTAATCAGGGGTTTGACTACTGCATGTTTAAAATCTGGTATAAAGCTGGTATAATCACATTTCCTCAGGGACTTAAAGACCAGATTAGGTATTGCATAGAAAAGCAAGATCAGTTTGAAAGGTGAGCAATTCAAGCAGAAATACTAACTGATATTCACTGAGAACTATTCAAGTACTTTAAAAACACTTTTTCAACCCCCATCAACACCTGACTTCGCTGTCACACAGTTACTGTAAACTTTTGCAGTTAGCACTAGAGCGCGTTTTCTTTGAGAAAACAGAACAAAACCGAGAGGTTTTCGAAGAAAAGTGAAAAGTTCTGCATTTGTCAAGCAGCTGACTTGAACAAGCAACCAAGCATGCACTACAATCAGAAGAACTGCAGTAAAGGCCAATCACCCATGCTCTAGCTGTAGGCTTCAGGCAGTCAAACAAACAATCAAAAATAAACATTTTTATTATCATGCTAGCCCAATTATATTTGAGCCTCTGGAAACGAGGATTGCATAAAAAGCGTGTCATTTCTAATCTTTCTAATCGTTCTTTGACACACCTCTGACTTGATTTGTCAGTGCTGTAGCTTCTATATATTTCTCGCGGGTTTTGGTCAAAAGAGAGAAATTACCAGGCAAAGCCGATTTTCACCATAGGGTTCTTGGCTTTTCTCTTGGGGATGTATTCAGGACCCTCTGGTTCCTCTACCTCCTCCTGGGCTCTGCCTCTGTCGGTATTCTGGGTCTGCTCGCTCCTCTGCGTCTCCATCCTGGAGCAGGCAGCAGGGGAGACGTGCAGCCGCAGGCTCGGACACACGGCCCGGCTTTGACTGCTCTGTCTGAGCAGCCACCGGCCGGAGAAAAGGTACATACCTGTTGACACAAATTACACCAGTACTTTAAAAATCTTACTTCATTTGCGACCACGTCGGTATGAAGTCTTCTTAAAGTGCTAAACTAAAGCATATAAAAGGTTATTTACAAAAAATAACTATATTAAAATAAACAACTTATCGCCGCCGAGAAAAAAAAATATATAATTCCCTTAATTGTGACCTTTTTTATAACGAATAAAGCCAATAATTAAACCTTTCAGTGTTGTCCGGACTGTATTCACTGTGGACGCCGCCATGTTTGTTGCGTAATTGCAACGGGCATGCGCAGTCGCAACAACGGGAGCTGCTGCCACCTAGTGGTACTCATTTAGATTTTGTATTATTTTAATGCCGCAGGCAACACAAAGACACATGAAGAAAATTTGTGTTTTTCAACATTTTATTTATTGTTCCAACATTTCATTCACAAAATCATAATTATAATACAAAAACACTTTAAACCATGGACGTAAACCATGCTGCATGCTTATAATATACAGTTATTCAAAGTCAACAATAAACTAAGTCAAAGAGAAGTGAATAAACAGCTGGAGAAGAGGGCAGTATATTTACATCTGTTTTTGTTTTGTTTTATCTTTTTAAATCTAAAGAATATTTAGATAAATCCTCGTATCTTTGTACAGCAGCGAAACATCTCCAATGCCACCATTATGAGCATTAAACACACTATGAACAATAACTCTTGTTTGCCACAAAGAAGCAGGGATCAATTTGAGGACAGGAGTTTAGTCTTCCAGGATGTAGTTGGGGTTTACAACCAGAACAGATTCCTCTTCTGTGCTCGCAGACTCTGAGCCCTTCAGTCCTGCCTGAGACAGCTGGATGAGGATGTGATCCTTGAGGAAGAGATTTGTGTGGGAGATCGTATAAATGAACATGTCTGCACTTAGAGAATCGCTGACTCATTATCTTTTCACATTTTAAGATGGTAGACTTACATAGTGCACCAGCCTGTGGATGACCTTCTCTATCAGCCCCTTCCTATTGATGAGCTCCTCCTCAGAGTCGATCTCTGACTCGATCTCCTTCAGATACCAGTTGACCACTGCACTTTTCTTCAGATCCTCCTCTTCCTCAGCTGCAACACAGATTAGCAAGAAAAATGTGAGAAGAAAAAGAAAAAGAACAGTGACAGAACAGACAAGGAAATGAGGTGGAAAACAGACTGGAGGGAGGAACATCTCTCACCATCCTCTGCTCTGCGCAGATGCAGGACGAGCAGGTTGGAGATGCGTTTGTACTCGGCGAAAGACAGACGAAGAGATGGTTTGGACTGGCTCCCAGGCTCGCCGTGGCCATTGACACCGTCAGCGTGTCCATTAATTCCATTAGTAAGGCCAATGACACCATCCACGTTTCCATTTACTCCATTCGGGACGTTACCTGCAAAGATGCAGAGAAGAGTTTACGTTAAATAAACAGCGGTGATGCACGGTGTCATTTCACATCTTCTCTATATTGATAGTACCTTCTTCCTGCTGCTCCTCCTCTTCCTCCACTTCATCCTCCTGTTCCAGGTTGATGTCTGGCGTCTCCACTCTGATGATAGATTTGTTCAGAAGACGGAACGCTTCCTTCACGTGTTTGGGCTGAACCTAGAAGCATGGGATGAAAGGGCAAGAGTTAATTCACAGTTTGGCCTTTTATTTTGAAAGGATGTCTTTTTGTTCCCCTCATTTTGGTTGAAGTGATACTCAGGGTGGTTTTGCAGTATTAAATTTTATCAACCACACTCAGTATCGAGTGTTGCATGAATGAAGCTTGTGTGTCTTCGCACGTACCTCATCACAACAGTGCATACGTGCCATGGCCTCTGAGAGGCGGATCATGCTCTCCAGCTGTCGCACAGTTATCCTCCAGGCAGATTTGGACACGCCCCCTGAGCCGTCACGCTGGCGGAGACGCTTGTACTGCTCGACGATGAACTCTTCTGATTCGCTGGAAATCTACGGAGGTCCAAAAGTTAATAGAAAGGAAATGTGTTAAACAGTAAAAACTGGGTCGCTGGTGTCGGCGTGTGGGGACACCAGCACACCCACCTTGGGTTTGAACTGCCTGGCGAAGAGCAGGTATCTGCGGATCTCATCCAGGGAGTACAGTCTGTCCACCGACTCCTCCACACGGGAGTGCAGATCTACGATGCGTCTGGCGATAGCGTAGTCCGTCACCTATGACAGGTGCAAATCGTTAGCTGCAGTATTCAACTAAATTATCATATTAAAAAAAAAAAAAATGGACAAAATAAAAGACATGAATAGAAACAACCAGTAAGCACAGGATGCTCAGACTACGCTCATTTGCATGTACCTCATTGCACTCGTCCACCAGGATGAAGAAGAGATCAAAGCGGCTCATAATGGGAGCGGTCAGGTTGACGTTCTGCTTCAGACTCTTGCTGCGGTCGTAGCGTCCGCTGACAGGGTTAGCAGCAGCCAGGATGGATGTGCGAGCGTTCAGGGTAGCCTGAGGAGAGAAGCGGAGGAACAGTCTGGTTATTCTACTGCAGAAGACGAGCGATCGAATATGATAGCAGTGTAACTTCCGCTTGTGCTGCATAAACGCGAGTGTTTAAAGCGTAAAGCTTTGAAAGCGTCACCTTGACTCCGGCTTTGGTGATGCTGATGGTCTGCTGCTCCATGGCTTCATGGATGGCCACCTGGTCTTTGAGGTCCATCTTATCAAACTCATCAATACAGCAAACACCCTGAAATCAAACCAGTTAACAAGTTTTACTTGCACTAATTACATAAAGAAACTTTTTTTGTTTTTTAAATATAACAATACACTGTTCACTGTTCTTCAGAACTCATGACACTCACATTGTCGGCGAGCATCAGAGCTCCAGCCTCGATGACAAACTCATGTGACTCCTCGTCTCGGACCACGGCCGCCGTCAGACCTGCAGCAGTGCTGGCCTTGCCGCTGGTGTACACCGCTCTGGGACTGAACTCCTCCACGTGCCTACACAGGCACACACACACACTCAAATCAACACTGCTGTACAACAAATGTCTACAGCAAAGAGAGCACTGAAAAGTGTTTGTGCCAGAAGATGGAACAAAGAAAAGCTTTATGCAAAGCTAATCAGTGAAGGTGGAAACTGTAGAACGTACTTGAGGAACTGGCTCTTGGCAGTGCTCGGATCTCCCACAATGCACACGTTGATGTCTCCTCTGAGCGAGGTCCTTTCCATGGTCGTCTTGGGAACGCCTCCAAAGAGCATCAGCAGGATGCCGCGCTTCACCTCATCGTTACCTGCACCATCACGTTAATGTTTAACTCACAAGTCACAGCTTTGATAAAGAACTACGAGAGCGTCATCCATTGGAGAAAAAGGCTAGATGGGGGGGTTCGATCACTGACCGTGGATGGTGGGGAAGAGGCTGGTGCACAGGTTGTGGTACAGGTTCTTGTCCTGGCTCATCTCAAAAACCTTCTCCCACTCTTTCTCTGTCATTTGGCTCTTAATGCTTTCAGCCGTCTGCTCCTCCTCCCGCAGCTCTTTACCGCCAAACTGTGATAAAGACGGCACACATTTGTAATCACACAGCAAGATTTGTAGCCGTTTGCATTTTTAGACACATGGGCGAGCGCTTCTTACCCGTGGGTTGGTTGGCGCCACGTTGCAGGCCAGGAAGGCCAGCCTGTATGACAGCTCTCTGACTCCCAGAGCTTTCAGTCCTCTCAGACCATCAGACTCAAAGCCCTGAGGACCTCCTGCTATACGGGTACTGGTCTCTGCTCGCACACCTGGAAGTAACATCCATACAGTAATGAGAACCAAAACAAAACACCACAAGACATAGTTTTGACCATAAATGGTTAAAATTTTAAAAAGTACCAGGTGTGCTGAGCTGTGAGACATCCGGCACGACAATCAGGGTCCCAGTGAAGTCACAGCGGTCTCCAGCCTGAGCCGTCTCCACAGCCTCTGCCCTCAGGATGATCTCAAGAGAGCGTGGGATCGAACCACGAGGCAGCTCCGCCTGCGTCTCCTGGATACGCACCTGGATACACAAACAGGGTACACAGGGTCAAAATCAGACTCATTCATCCATGCAGACAGACATCCTTTATCACAGTTACCTTCTGAAAGTCGATGAACTTGGATTTGTGTGTGTCGAGGTGGAAGCGGGAGCGGTTGTTGCACACGGGGTTCCTGCAGATGGTCGGAGGAGAGTATTTGAACTGCTGAGAGACATCTTTGATCACTGCCTGGCAGTCCATGCACAGGAAGGTACCGCTCACCTGCACCAAAGGAAGCAGGATGGGTTTAATGACAAAAGACAAGCGTAACGCAACTGAACTTTGTGCCTTCTTCACTGATATAAACATCTCACCAGCTCAGGATGGACTGGGTGCGTTCTCACCACCTGACCGCTGATTCTCACCAGGCTGCCAATACGCATGGAGGACAACTCACGGATCCTATTTATTTATTTAACACAGGAAAAGGATCAGATTTGGCATTTCATTCCCATTAACATTTACCAGTGAGAGATGCATCATTCCTGCTTCATGCACCACAACTTAAACACCATTTTGTTCCAATTTATTCAAGCCAAGCGGACATTTCTACAACTATCTTTGCACTAAAGCAATCTAGCTGCATAAATGGCAGCTCAGACCAGATAAATGGAGATTTACATGGTGGTTTGGTTAACAGTGTCTTACTTGTGTCTGGTGGGCAGATCCTCGATAGCGACGTAGAACTCTTTGTTGAGGGGGACGTTCCCGTGATCCCGAGCAAAGTTGCGCACTGCTCTGCAGAGGTAGGGATACACTCTGGAAACAGACAATCCTTCAGGTTACCCCACAGCTTATTTCCACAGCACTGAACTGATGGTTTGAAATGCAGCAGCGCACTCTCCCACCTCAGTATTTAGATGAGATATGATGGAAGCAACTATGACTTGGTGGGCTTGCTCACCTGTAGTACTCCTCCTGGATGGTGGTAGCCAGTTCCTGGTTGAAACCCTCCAAGTCGGTGAAGCTCACCAGTAGGGTGTTCCTCTCAGGCCTGATCAGCTCCTCGGCCTCCCGGACATACTTCACCTCCCCATCCCCGCTCTGAAATCTGCAGGGTGACGCAGGAATCGGGCGAGAGTTAAGAAAAGCAGTGAAAAGACACCAATAGCAGCCGATCAAAGTAGCACTCGATCCTTATAATTGCTGATTAAAAGAGCGATGTCAAGCCAAGCACGTTTCGGCCGACAACAATACGACCCCGTCGCTGCCGCCTCACTTACTCCTCTAAGAAAGCCTGGAATAACTTCTGGCACTTCTCG